GGGGGGGTTGTAACAGCTTTCCTCCTAGCCTTTTTCCACCAGACATTTATACCTGAAAGGTCAGTCAGAGCCAGCATTGAATATTTATGTATGTTTTTGAGTAATGTGGCACTGATAATTCTTAAAATGTCTTGTTATTGATACCTCCACAGATGTAACTTGGTCTGCTGTTATTTTCCTTATCTGTAGCTGATCAGTTCTTTCTTTTAAAAGAATCAGAGGTGATAGTTTTTATTAGACCTAGATATTTGCACAAAAAATCTTTATTTACAAGCACACTCAACCTTCCTCAGGCTTAGAAGAATGCAAAAATTGTAAAATTTCTTCTAGGTGGAAATGAAATTTCATATTTCACAGGAGAGCTGAAGGTGTTATAAAATCTCCTGGTTGGAATTGTTCATTTTGTGCAAATTAGGCTCAGATAAAAGTTAGAATAGTCTATTTACTCTGATGTTGTCTGGTGGCAACTTTTAAAGGGGCATTTACCTAGGTTCTAGGATTTCACTAGTTGGGAATCCTTGAGACTGTATATATCTGCAAGTTTTCTGGCTGCTCTGTGATGTCAGATTTATGTGATCCTTTCTTTCTCCTCCAGTTACTTTGCTTTCTCAGTCAAAGAGTAATCCAATGCAAGGATAGCATTCATTTTGCTTCAATAATGCTTGAAACCTTAACGGCAAATGAGATGAATTTGGAAACAGAAAAAAACACAACGTATGGTAATTTCAATCTATTAATTGTTCCCCGTTTTATCTATGTGTGCCAATCCTGCTGAGTGTGTATGTGCTGTCTCCATGCAGATTAAGAGTCAGGCTTGACCAGTCAGTTTGGTCTATGGCTAAATCCTGGGTCCTTGGATTATTGCCAGGTTGTCCCAGCAGTAGTGTAGTAGCTCCATATGCTCTCTCCACCCCACCCCCATCACAACACCTTAAAATCAAAATGGCAAAACTAGCAATTTATTTAATTATATTACTACATTGGAACTCTCTGGGAGTTTGCTTGTAAATTAGATTCTTTTTTCTAGTAATGAGAGGTTGTTTTCTGTCTTTCCTGAGGCACCTCTCACTGAATTCCTGTTAGTTCGGTTTTCAAAATGATTGATTAGGAAATTCGAGAAGCAGTCGAGGCAGGAATTAAGAGAAGCAGTCAGGTGGGGTTCACTCTAAACACCTATTCCAGTGGCAGGAGAGGCCAAGCCATGAACCCCTAGGAGAGAGGGGGAAGATCGAGACTACTGCTGCCAAGAGGAAGCAATGAGTGATTGGTGACTCCCTCCTGCAGGGAATGGAGACATCCATCTGCCAGCCTGACCTGTTGGCTTGGAAGTTCTGCTGCCTGACAGGTTCCCACATCTGAGATGTCACAGAAAGGTTGCTTAGACTCATTTTGTCTTCTGACTAGGATTCATATGGGCTGCTCATCCATATGGGCACTAATGATAGTGGGTGATCTTGAGCAGATCAAAAGTGACTGCATGGTACTGGTTGCAACGTGAAGGGGATGGTAGCCCAGGTGGAATTCTCATCCGTCCTTCCAGTCAAGAGTCAAAGTCTGGCTAGGAGCAGACACATCCTGGAGATGGACACATGGCTGCCTGTAAGCTATCACCAACAGAGCTTAGGCTTCTTTGGCCCTGGGGTGATGTTCAAAGAAGATGGAAAGAGATGGGATCCAGCTGACAAAGAGGGAAGAGTGTCTTTGCATACAGGCTTGCTAATCTAGTGGGCAGAGTTTTAAACTAGGTTCACCAGGAGAGACAGATAAAATCCCAGAAGTAAGTGAAGACCTGGATACAAACTTTGCAAGGGTAATCAGCGACAGAAGCCTTAGCGATGTTCTCCAGGAGAGGACAGGACAGTTGGATACCTGAAGCATTTAAATACTTATGTGGCAGCCATGGGAGACAAATAGGAAGAGTTGGAGCTCCTAGTACAATCTCAGAATTATGATGTAATTGAGATGTGGTGGGATACTTCACATGATGGGAGTGTGGTTCTGGATGGGTATAGCTTGTTCAGGAGGGCTAGGCAGAAGAGAAAAAGAGGAATTGTTGCCCTGCATATAAAGGCAGTGTACATGTTCTGAGGTGCACTATGAAGTGGTAGGTAGGCTTGTTTAAAACGTCTGGGTAGAAGTCAGGGGGGAGAACGGTAGGCCACCAACCCAGGAGGAGAAGGTGGATGAAGCCTTCTTTAAACAATTGGTAGAAGCTTCCAAATCGGAGGACTTGGTTCTCATTGAGGATTTGAATTATCAGGACATCCTCTTGGGAGGGAAATCCAGGAGTGCACAAGAATTTTTGGAGTATATTGAGGATAGTGTTTGGATAAAGATGGTAGAGAGACCAACTAGGGGAGAAGTGCTTCACAATTTGCCACTCACAAACAGGGAGGAATTGGTTGAGGATGAATGGACAGGAGATTTAGTTAGGGATGATCCTGTCTTGAGTGGGGTGTTGGACTAGATAACTTTGAGGTCCCTTCCAACCCCACTTCCCTATCATCCTATTTCATTTATTATTATTAAGGAAAACATTATCTTTCTAAGAGTCTGCAGTATCTGCTCACATTTTTCTGTTGGAGGTATGGATTTCCAAAGCAAAAAACAAACAAACATGGACACATTATTGCTATCCAAAGAGAAGTCAAACCTTAGAGCTAAATTGTTTCTGAAAACTACCTTTCATTTTGTTCTTTGCCACTTAAAGGTCAAAAGGAAGAGAGCTTATAAAACATTAATATCTAAACGTAAACCCAAGGATGTGCACTTCAAAGTGAAGCCACAGGTTTAATTTCTTAATCCATTAGGGCACATTTGACCAGATCAACAACTATATCATGGACTTTGGTCACATCTGATATAAAGATATATTTTTATTCTTCAGAAAACTGTCCCTCCCTTGGTCATCCTCCTCATTTTAAATCCACAGTAGGATTAGCAGATGTGGAGAAGATAGAGAAAAAATATTTTTTCTTCATGTCCACATTTATCAATCTGGCTGATTGCAGACTGTCTGTACTATGTTTGTTATTGAACTGCTTGGAACATTTGTAGGGTCTTTTTTTAAAGAACCCTGCTGCATGAGTTCATAGAAAGGAAAATATACTGAGTGTCTACAATTTAGTAGCATTATTAGGAGGAACTTAACTCATCAGATCTAAGTACAAACAGTCAAAAAGCCCAAGGCAGAATCAGTTCAATCTAGGCAGCTTCCTCTAATCTGCATAGGCTGAACCGATAACCAAGTGAACTGACATTTAGTTTTCAATTGTGAAAGGCAGGGGGAGGCCTGCACTGACCCAGGCCAGTAGGCAGGGGATGCTAAAGCATGTCTTCCAGCCTGCCGGCCATTGCCGGCCCAGCCAAGTGTTCCCAGCTCCCTGTTGTCCCTCCACAGTGGGTTAAAGACACCCCTGTCTGGGTGCTGGCACACCTTGGGGGAGTCTCCCCCTCAGATTTGCCTCAGACTTGCAGCAACTGATGTAAAACCAGCTGTAGGGGAGCAGGAGAACTTCCCTCTGCTCCCTGAGCCTGTCTGAGACTCACAGTAAGGCAAGCAGCTTTTGGGGTTTGGGAGGGGAAGAATTCCCTTCAACTTTCTGGGGCTGCCCCAGTCTGAGGGACCTTGGACTGGGGTGAGGGAAAGCCCCCCCAAGGCAGGAGTTCCCCCATGCTGGGCTGCATGGGCAGGCACCCATCCAGGAGGACTCCTCCTCTCTCCCCCCTGGGGCAGCTGCTGAAGCAGTCTCCCTCCCAGGGCAGCAGCTGGGGAGGGGGAAGGGCTGCTAAGGGTCAAAAAGCCCCCACCACAGAAGCTTTCCCTCCCCCCATGTGCTGTGTAGACCCTGGCTAGGGGAGGCTGGGGGTCTGTTCCCCTGTCTGCCTTCCTCTGCCCCCATCTCCATGGGTTGATGGACTCAGGCAGGAAGCAGGCTAATGAGCAGAGGAGTGAGATGGCCCCTGCTCCACTGGAATAGGCAGCATAGCCAAGGGCTGCAAAGCATCCTGGGATGCTGGGGGACTCTGAGTTAACTTGAACCAGGAAGGAATCTGGGACAGAAGTTCCAGAAACCGGTTTGACCTAAATCAGTTAATTCTGATACTATATCCAACCAGGTATATCTTAAACTGGTTTTGGCCATTTTGAATGCAATTTATGTGCACTGAACTTTTGTTCTGTTACAGGTTTAAATCAGTTTCTGATCACTTAAACCGGTTTGTGTGTAATTTCTGTTCCTAGCCCAGAAGACTTGGTTGGTGTAGTTCTACCTCTTGTCTGCCCAGAAACAAACAGGGATAATAGGAAAATAAAATAAGGGGCAGGTGAGATGACATTTATTATACTGTTTAATTTAATTCATGATCAGACAAACATAATGAATAGTAAAACAAAACTTAAATCAGTTTCTAACAGAATTCAGTCAGCTTAATTTAGGCACAGAATAAGTGTTTCTCTTTTTTAAAATAAGTATGTGTTACTGAGGTAAAACAATCTAATAAAAATAAGGATGTTGTTGCTTAAGATACATATTGTGTTCAGTAAAACTTTCTCCACAGTGTAATAAAGCCATACATAAGATTGCTAGGCTAGCATGGTATTTTCTTTGACTCATACTATTGGAGTTTTTCTGCAGTGAAACCAGCTAATAATTCAGTCCCTCTTCAAACTACAAATCTCCTGGGCTCAGAGATGGACCAGGGCCCTGTGTCATTCTAGAGCTCTCTAGCCCCCTTCTGGACCTGCAGCAGTGTTACCAAGCAGCTAGACATCAGTCGAGCCCTTCTGGCTGGCCCATATTACTCGGATCCAATTTTCAAGAGCACAATATAAATTCCCTCTTGGGAAATATTTTTTAGCGTGGAACCTCATAGGAGATTGAGCATACTGGACGCTCATTTGTTTTAATTAGGCCGAATACTGATATATTTACCTTTTCTTTTTGAGGGAAGAGGGGGAAATATTAAAGCTATTTAAATCTGAATGCCAAGAGACGTGTACCATAAGTGATGAGACCACACTTCTTTAAATAAAAAAGAGCGAGCATGCACATGTCTGGAAGTGTTATTGCATGTATTTACATATCCTTTTTCCTTCTGTCAAAAACTGCTAGTTTGCCAAATAGGTGGGAGTTTCATAATCTGCTCTTCCCTGTGATTGCTGCATTTGGTTAGTGGTCTGTGCTTATCTAAGTAGGCACCCATGAGAACAGATGAATATCTATGACTATTCTCACTCAGATAAAAAAAAACCAATAATATGAATTTCTCTTTTAAATAACATTTTTGAATTGTGACACAAATTGACCAGAAGAATAAGAAAGAACAAAGATTTTATTTCTGGCTTGAATTTTCATTTCCATCTCTCTTCACAGACTGTAATGGCATTTAAGAACATCCAATTTTTGTGACTCCTGGCAATATCTGTGTTCAGTGAGGGGTCTAGAGCACATGACAGCTATACACATAGCTGTTTGTGCCTGTTGCTACCACTAGATTAAACCAAGATTTAAAAATATTTAATATGCATACATTAAAATAGTAATACATTTTAGAAAGTTAAAATAATTTATTATGTTCAACTAACATTTAACATTATATTTAACACTTGGAATTGATTTGTCCAGGTTCTATCCAAATGAGTCAGCCACATCTTTTTATTCTTAAGA